CATCAGCTTCAGCTAAATGAATTATTGAACATAAATCAGAAGATGATGAATATCAGGAGGATTCTGATTCTACATTTATATCTCGAAGACGTGTAAATAGGTATAAAAATCGACCAAAACCCAACATAAATCTTTCTGATGACAATTCTGAACAAAGTGTTGATGAGCCTTCTGAATCTTCTGAATTTACTACCGAAGATGACAATATTTCAGGTAGTAGTAGTAATAGAAATGAATCGGATGATGGAGAATCAGATGATGATGAAGATTACAAAACATTTGAGAATTATGCACCACCCAATTATGAGCCATTTCAGGACCCACCAGATCTAGGATCAATAATTGATAATCAAATTTTATGGATTTTGTCTGGATTATGACATTTCAGACAAGATTTAACATAACGGAAACAGCAACCGAGGCTTTGATAAAATTTATGAAATTAGTCTTGACAGAAATCAGTGGAGATAATTTTAGAGACTTTCTAGATCTGATGTACTTAACAAGGAAAAATCTTGGATTAAAAGATCATTTTCATAGCTTCGTTTCTTGTCCAAAATGTCATAAGTTGTATAAAAAACAGGAAGTGGTAAATTTTAGACAACAAGATTCATTTGCTATAATGAAGTGCTGACATGTAGAATTTCCTAATTCGTCACTCTGTAAATCACGACTTTGCAATACAACTATATCTCGAACAATTGGTATTTTGACAAATCAAGTAGTAATTCAACCTAATTTAATATTTCCATTTTCTGAAATCAGACAACAACTCACTTTGATATATTGTCGGCCTTGTTTTGAAAGTTGTTTGAAACAATAGGCAAATCATCGGCATTATGATAATATTAGGACTGATATATATGATGGTCAAGTATAGCAAACATTGAAAGAATCTTCTGAAGAAAATTCGCAAAATTTTTTTAGAGATAAAGTGGCTGATTCTCACCTTGAATTAATGTTGAACTTGAATTAGTTCCAGCCTTATGAAGGCACTGCATATAGTATTGGTATTATTTATGCTGCTATATGCAATTTGCCACGTGATATCCTAGTGTTCAGAAATGATCTGATCATTTGACCATTTAAATGATTTGTCTATTCCTTTATCATAATCATAAATCATTTAGCATTTGTCATTTCGCAAATG